CTTCTCATTCTGAAATATGGTATTTTTTCGAGATTTTCAAAAACTCCACTTTATTGGATCATCGAAGAGGGTTATTTCCGTATTTGTGACAATGAACGTCGATGACATACATCCATCCAAGTAATGAAATAAGTAATCTCTTTAAGAAAATACTACGTCACCCATGATGTTCAGGACCTCTCTACACTTGTGGCCTGGTACTGCTGGAAACAGTGACTGACAGATTCCAGCAAAACTCATCCCCGGATGAATAGGGTTATGAATATGCAAAATAGGACGATTATTTCTAAACTAAAGGGACAAAAAAGCCGTGGTCCTAATGCGATTTGTCTCGCATTCTTCATCGAAAAAACGAAGGAACATTGCAATGAAACAAATGCCAGGATTACCAGCATGTTGATTCTCCCCGCGAAAGAGATGTCACTGAACGGAGTCCTTTCTCCAAAAATTGCCCTGGACCGGGGAGGAATCGAACCATCCCTCTTCAAGTCTGGATGTAATGTTTTACCCACTGCACCACCGGTCCTCGTGCTCCAGGTTCAGTGTGGCAGCACATCTGCTGTGTATCTGCCTTTTAGGACAAGACGCACCTTGCTTTCCTTTTTCTTTATTTCAGCTTATCGGCCAGCTTTTCGCAGGTTTTCCGCGACAAGAGATTCCATCGTAGCAACCACAGGAAGGATAAGGGATCTGCTGATAAGAAAAAGAATGAATTCTTGTAGAAGTCATCAACTTCTTTCCACATAAGTTTGTCTCTCCTGCTTGAATCTATTTCAAGAAAAGCAACCTTGAATACACGCGTGACTGAGACCGCGATCCCGAGATATTTCAAGCCAACAGGCTGCGAACTGGTCAATCGGCGGAAATTTTTATCACCTTCACCCTGAAATTACAAGCTCTTTGGCATTAAAATTGATGTAAATCTGAAATGTGCGAAAACTTGGTCCGTCCAACAAATTACCTCTCGATAATCCGAACGTTCTATGTAGATGTCACGATCAACGGCAACAAAATGATGACCACCAGAGTCCGGATTTAGTGGAAAATCTGGTACACCGATTGAGTGTCCAAAACCTAATTCATCGAAATTTTCGATCGTTACTTTTAACGGATCCAATACTGCCATTGTTCTAAAATCAGAAGTGATTCATAGAGTCTGTACTCTCTGGAACTTGCATCAGCAAGATCGATTAAATATTTAAAAATGTCTGAGACCAAAACTACTTTAAAATAGTAATTCCTAAAAACTAATACAATCAAGTGAGTCAAAATTAAAGTATGCAGTTTTCAAAAAAAAGTATAATTTAATTAAAATCAAAGTATAATTTTCGAAACTAAATGTAGCCTAATACAGCTCTTGTGGCTGACGCTATAAATCCAAAAATATCTCCCCATTCAAACGGAATTCCCCAACGCATTCCAAATAGCATAAATGCTGATATTTTCCAGTAATTTTTACGAAAATAAACAAGAGCATCCGCTCAGTCCATACAGAAATCTGCTACAAGTGATGTTACCAGGCTATTCATACACATCCAGGAAAGCTACTTCAGACCCTTCAATCTGAGCTAATTCCACGAAATTTGCTTGCTTCTTCCCGCATATAACCAACAAAAACCGAGATTAGAAGCC